GAGTGCCGCCTTATCCTCTGTAATGACCTGAAAGTGAATAACTCAACACCAAGTTAACTATATGGACCACTCAGGGGCGGACTGACAACTCATGGGGCCCCCGGGCAATTGGGGATCATGGGGCCTCTGTGTCCTTGCCCACACTCAAAACACACCCAAAAAAGCCTATAAAAGGTACCAGAGGCATTTTATGGGGCCCCCTACTGACCCCAGGCCCTCGGGCAGTGCCCGAGTTCTCGAATGGTCAGTCCGCCCCTGGGACCACTTATGTGTTTATGATAATGCTGATAATGTCCAATAACTGAGCCTAGTAAAATGTCACTCCCCGCTGTCAACCACCTGAATAAATGCTTTCCTGCCATAGAGCCACAACCATGGAATGAGACAATGGGGTGGACATTGTAATGAACAAATAATTCAGACTTTTGCCAGAGATCGGTACAACAAATTTACACCTGCACACCTTTTTTGAAGAACATTTGTCTTTTTAACCACCGCAATACCGGACACTTTCACCCCCTTCCTGCGCAGGCCAATTTTCCGCTTTCAGTGCAGTCACACTTTGTATGACAATTGCGCGGTCATGCAACTGTATGAAATTATTATAATTTTTTTTCACACAAATAGAGCTTTTTTTTAGTGTTATTTAATTTAATTTTTGCTTAATTTGCTGAAAAATGTTGCAAAAAAAATTTTTTTTTGGTTTTTGTTTCTGTTATAAAATGTTTCGAACAATTTTTCTTCACAAATTTAGGACAAAATGTATACTGCTACATTTCTTTGACAAAAAATAACCCAAATATTATTTAGTTTGTGGGAAAGTTTTAGTAAGTAAGAGGCATGGTAAGTATTTTTAAAGTTTTTTGTCACTTTTTTTTTTAAAATAAATTAATAAAATTTGTTTCATTCACAATTTTTTTGTAGTGCACTACAGTGTCATCATATAACTGGTGCGATCACGGACACTGACTGGTGACAGTATATAAAACAATATTTTTTCCATTTTTTTTAACTTTCTTTTCTTTTTTATTAAATTTTTTTTTTTTTTTTTTTATGATTTTTTACATACTGTGATGAAAGGAATACAGTTTTACTATAGTAACACTGTACTACTCTGGGGAGGTGATCAGATTTTTTTTTTTTTGTTATAAGCAGCCATTTTTTATGAATGAAATCCATTCATTCAGTGTGTAATATTGTGGTTAGCTGTGATTGGCTACAGCTAATCACATAGTACAAATGGGCTGTGAATGGTCCTGTCTGTAACCATGTGATCACTGTAACCAATCACAAAGATTAACACAATGAATGGCTATGAAACAATTGCCATGTGACCTGCTGTGATTGGTCACAGCAATCACATGGTACTAACAGTGGCCCAGTACACTGATCTGTCATCCGCTGTGTCAAGTGGACACAGCGGATGACAGATTGCGCTGCAGCACGGCCCAATCCTGGGAGGACAACATATGACGTCCACCCAGGATAGCAAAGCTCCTGCTCGGCTGTTGTGTCTCTATAGGCTGGACAGGAGAGGGTTAATTAGATATAAAGGAAAAGAACATTGCCAACCAACATTTCTGGAAACACAGGGCCCCTTTCTCAATGCAGAGTTATAGAAAAAAATACAAAAACACCAGTTAAACTAGTCTGTGACAGAGGCCAGATCATCATCATTGTACTTTACTTGGAAAAACTCAGACCTGCAACAAGATTTGTTTCCTAGGCTGAAAAAATGCTACAGGGCTTGCAAAGGCAGTACATCCTAATCTTTATGTTACAGGTGTAACCCTGTAGCTGATAACTGCTGCTGAACTTCTTCCTTTGTAACTGCTGTACTTCTGCAGTATGGACACAAACTAAATATTCATTAACCACTTGCCTACCGGGCACTTTTGCCCCCTTCGTTCCAGGCCAATTTTCAGTTTTCAGCGCTGTTGCACTCTGAATGACAATTGCGCAGTCATGCAACACTGTACCCATATACAATTTTTATCATTTTTTTTCACACAAGTAGAGCTTTCTTTTGGTGGTATTTAATCACCACTGGGTGTTTTGTCTTTTGCACTATAAACAAAAAAAATAGCAACAAATTTGAAAAAAAAGTGTTTTTCTTTGTTTCTATTATAAAATGTTGCAAACAGGTAATTTTTCTCCTTCATTGATGTGCATTGATGAGGCTGCACTGATAGGCAGCACTGATGGGCACTGATGAGGTGGCACGGATAGGCAGCACTGATGGGCACTGATAGGCTGCATTGATGAGGTGGTACTGATGAGGCAGCACTGGTGGGCATTGATAAGGAGGCAGTGATGATGCTGCACTGATATGCAGCAATGATGGTCACTGATAGGCGGCACTGATGGCCGAAACTGATGGGCGGCACTGACAGGCAGCACTGACTAGCGGCACTGCTGGGTGCAAGTGCTTGTATAGCACTGATGGGGGGCACTGCTGGGTGGCACTTCTGGACACTGCTGGGCACTGGTGGGTGGCACTGCTGGACAGCACTGCAGGGCACTGATCATCATCTGTTCTATGACAATTGCCAATTACTGGCAGTATGTTCCTCATGCTGTCACAGCGTGAAGAAAGTGCTTCTGATAACCAGCAACTGTATTTACTCCGTAATCTGCTGTGTCATTGGACACAGCTGATCACGTGGTAAAATGCCGCCATGATTGGCCTTTTACCTCATCACATGATCAGCTGTGTCAGTAGGATGTAGCAATCATGAAGATCGCTGGGTGCTCACCACTGGGGGCGCGCGGGAGGGCGTGTTCTGGGAGGATGTCATATGACACCCTCCCAGAACTGGACAACCGTGCTGTAGCTGTCATTTGGCTATAGCGCGGTTAGCAAGTGGTTAAGGAGCAATACGGCCAAAGCGGTTTTGGCTGTACTTCTCCTGTGGATCACAGGGGTGCAGTTCGTTCTGTACTCCCATGACCCGTTTTTCAGCTGACAGCAGGTTGAAGTCCACTATCAGCTGACGTCACGCTGGTCCAGGTTGGGGAAAGATCCCTACTTTAAAGTCAGGATCCACTCCAAAGTCTGGAGTGGCATATGGCTCAGCCTCTCAGCGATATGCTATCCCATTGTTTGAAAGGAAGGAAAAGAGGGACTGTTTCAGCAGGACTGAAAGAGATAAATCACAGCAACTCCTATTGCTGTCTGAGGTCTTGAACAGAATCAGAGCACATGTCTGGAGACCCAGAAGAGGTAGCCCTGGGTCTGGGAAGAGACTAACTGCACAAGGTAATCTGTTGTCTGCTGGGATTTGTTGTGCATTCTTCAAGGGCTCTAACTTTGCTGGCCAATTTTGTTTTTACTTTTTTCATCATTCGCAGGCCAGTGAGATAAAATAGGGATTGTTTTGTAGCAAGTTAGGACTGTCTCTATATACTTTTTCTAGGTAAAAGCAATCCAGTCCTGTTAATTACTGATAGTCAGAACACTGCAGGTGTTTAACCATATCTCTCAGAGTAATGTTATTGTCTTATTGATTATTTGTATAAGTACACTTGCCAATCCTCTCTTCATTTTGGCTATACAGTGGGGAAAATAATTATTTGATCCCTGCAGATTTTGTAAGTGTACCCGCTTGCAAAGAAATGAAAAGTCTATAATTTGTATCATAGGTGTATTTTAAATGATAGAGACAGAATATCAACCAAAAATCCAGAAAAGAGCAAATGATACAAATGTTATAAATTGTGGTACACATATTAGTCCTGTCAATTTAAGAAGGTGCTCCTGTCCACAGAATCTCTTTCTTCCATTCCTCACCATCACCATGGGCAAGAACTGTCAAAGGACATCAGGGATAAGATTGTAGACCTGAACAAGGCTGGAATGGGCTACAATTGATTAGTCGCAAATGGAAAAAATACAAAATAATCATCAATAGCCCTCGGTCTGGAGCAAGATTTGCCTCATGTGGTAAGGATGATCATGACAGAAGTGAGGGAATAGCCCAGAACTACATGGGAGGAGCTTTTGAATGATCTCAAGGCAGTTGGGACCACAGTCACCAAACAAACCATTGGTAACACAATACACAACTATAGATTGAAATCCTGCAGCACCTGCAAGGTCCCCCTCCTTAAGAAGGCACATGTACAGACCCATCTGAAGTTTGCCAATGAACATATAAATGATTCAGGGAAGGAATGGGAGAAAGTGCTGTGGTCAGATGAGATCAAAATTGAGCTCTCTGGCATTAACTCGACTCGCTGTGGTTGGAGGAAGAAAAATGCTGACTATGACCCTAAGAACACCATCCCTACAATCAAGCACAGAGGTAGAAACATTATGCTTTGGAGCTGTTTCTCTGTTAAAGGTACAGGCCAACTTTGCCACATTGAGGGGCCAATGGACAGGGCCATGTATTGTAAAATCTTGGATGAGAACCTTCTTCCCTTAGCCAGATTACAGAAGATGGGTCGTGGATGGGTCTTCCAGCATCATAATAACCCAAAACATACCACCAAGGCAACAAAGGAGTGGCTCAAGAAGAAGCACATTAAGGTCATGGAGTGGCCTAGCCAGTCTCCAGACATTACTCCTATAGAAAATATATGGAGGGAGCTGACACATCGAGTTGCCAAGCGACAGCCAAGAAACCTTAAGGATTTAGAGAAGATCTGTAAAAAAGAGTGGACCAAAATCCTTCTTGAGATGTGTGAAAAACCTGGTAACTACAAGAAACATCCTGTGTACCTCTGTACTTTCCAACAAGGGTTTCTTCACCAAGTACAAAGTCATGTTTTGCTTGGGGATCAAATAGTTATTTTAGTCACTAAACTGCAACTCAATTTATATCATTTGTATTGTGTATCATGTTTTTTTCTGGATTTTGATTGATATTCTGTCTCTATCATTTAAAATACATCTATGATAAAAATTATAGACCCTTCATTTCTTTGTAAGGGAATTGAATCATTATTTACCCACTGTACGTGGCCTAATAATAAGAATAATAGGAATAAATTCCTTGAAATACACTATATTGTCAAACGTATTGGGACACCCCACCAAATCATTGGATTCAGGTGTTCCAATCACCTCCATGGCCACAGGTGTATAAATCAAGCACTTAGGCATGTAGACTGCTGCTACAAACATTTGTGAAAGAATGGGTCGCTCTCAGGAGCTCAGTGAATTCAAGCATGGTACCGTGATAGGTTGCCACCTGTACAATAAGTCCATCTGTGCAACTTTCTTGCTACTAAATATTTCATGATCAACTGTTAGAGGTATTATAACAAAGTGGAAGCAACTGGGAACAACAGCAACTCAGCCATGAAGTGCTAGGCCACGTAAAATGACAGAGCGGGGTCAGCGCATGCTGAAGCACACAGAGCGCAGAAGTCGCCGACTGTCTGCAGAGTCAATAGCCTTTAGATTAGCACAACAGTGCGTACGTAGAGAGCTTCATGGAATGGGTTGCAGCTGCTTCCAAACCTTACATCACCAATGCAAAGTGTGAATAAAATCATATAGTGTTGCGCTCCCAAAACTCCAATTGATATATTTAAATCTCTTAATCTCTGTCCTTAAAATCATATACAGAAAATATGTAAATAGTGGAAATAGAAAATATCATCAAAAAATATATTAAATTAAATTAATAAAAACATCTATAATTAATACTAAAAATGATATCTGTGATTGAACATTAATAATATTATACTTATATCAATTCAAATAATCCATGTGCATAAATAAATAAAAAACAATAGTGTAAATAATGTCCCATATAATGAAAGTGACTTTGTGCTGAAAAATCAATCTTCAATCTATATTGCATATAAATCCGTGGCTGATTGTGAATCCTCCATTAGTGCAGATGTACGCTCACCTCCTTATAAGCCTGCAATTAGGCTATATATGCTTTCGGTTCTCCTCCTTTGGAACCTACTTGATTGGAACTCTTTCTTTGAGATAATAGATTCCGTAATTACCGATATGTGCTATGGGATAAACCCCTTCTCCAGAGGATACAACTCCTCTATATTCTCATCTCCATGCGACTCTCCACATAGAAAAAAAGATCTCGACATGGTGTTTTATCTTTTATAAAGATCGGCTTTAATGGCTCAGAGTGTAACACTCACATGTGTTTATATAAGGACAATGGTAACTCAATATAAACCGAGTCCTCCGCTGACTGTCGGAGCCATGCACCCGTAGTCCGGCAAAAACGAACTGACTCCCTCCGAGTGACGTTACAGTCCCACCCCTACGCGTTACGCCACTGGTCACGTGGCTTCATCAGGGGGATTTGATTGGGGCAATCAAATCCCCAATCCCATCCCCCCCAATCCCCCAATCCCCCAATCAAATCCCCCTGATGAAGCCACGTGACCAGTGGCGTAACGCGTAGGGGTGGGACTGTAACGTCACTCGGAGGGAGTCAGTTCGTTTGCCGGACTACGGGGTGCATGGCTCCGACAGTCAGCGGAGGACTCGGTTTATATTGAGTTACCATTGTCCTTATATAACACATGTGAGTGTTACACTCTGAGCCATTAAAGCCGATCTTTATAAAAGATAAAACACCATGTCGAGATCTTTTTTCTATGTGGAGAGTCGCATGGAGATGAGAATATAGAGGAGTTGTATCCTCTGGAGAAGGGGTTTATCCCATAGCACATATCGGTAATTACGGATATCTATTATCTCAAAGAAAGAGTTCCAATCAAGTAGGTTCCAAAGGAGGAGAACCGAAAGCATATATAGCCTAATTGCAGGCTTATAAGGAGGTGAGCGTACATCTGCACTAATGGGAGGATTCACAATCAGCCACGGATTTATATGCAATATAGATTGAAGATTGATTTTTCAGCACAAAGTCACTTTCATTATATGGGACATTATTTACACTATTGTTTTTTATTTTATTTATGCACATGGATTATTTGAATTGATATAAGTATATTATTATTAATGTTCAATCACAGATATCATTTTTAGTATTAATTATAGATGTTTTTTATTAATTTAATTTAATATATTTTTTGATGATATTTTCTATTTCCACTATTTACATATTTTCTGTATATGATTTTAAGGACAGAGATTAAGAGATTTAAATATATCAATTGGAGTTTTGGGGAGCGCAACACTATATGATTTTATTCACATTTTTTCACATTGGTAGTTATGTGCTAGAGGTTTGCGATCCAACTACAAAGTGTGTAATAAGGAGTTTTTTTCTGCTTTCTGGCTCGCAAGATACTTTTAATATTTTAGACATACCAATGCAAAGTGTCAGATGCAGTGGTGTAAAGCATGCCGCCACTGGACTTTACAGCAGTGGAGACGTATTCTCTGGAGTAACGATTCTCTGTCTGACGATCCAATGGACGTGTCTGGGTTTGGCATTTGCCAAGAGAAAATTACTTGCCTGACTGTATTGTGCAAGTGTAAAGTTTGGTGGAGGGGGGATTATAGTGTGGGGTTGTTTTTCCAGGGGTTGGGTTTGGCCCCTTAGTTCCAGTAAAGTGAACTCTTAAGGCTTAAGCATACAAAGACATTTTGGACAGTTTCATGTTCCCAACTTTATGGGAACAGTTTGGGGATGGCCCCTTCCTGTTCCAACATGACTGCGCACTAATGTAATGTTCATAAAGACATGGATGTGCTAGTCTGGGGTGGAGGAACTTGACTGGCCTGCACAGAGTCCTGACCTTAACCGACACAAAACACCTTTGGGATGAATGAGAGCAGAGACTGCGAGCCAGGCATTCTCGTCCGACATCGGTGCCTGACCTCACAAATGCGCTTCTGGAAGAATGGTCAAACTTTCCCAAAGACACCCTCCTAAACCTTGTGGACAGCCTTCCCAGAAGAGTTGAAGTTGTTAAACCTGCAAAGGGTGACGCAAACTCAGGCGTCCCAATACTTTTGACAATAAAGTGTAGATCAAGGCGCCTACAGAACAATAGCCAGTAAGTCTGGTTGCGGCCAATTTGTTATCAGGTAATAATATGAAGAAAATGGTGCAAGAAGGGTCATCATCATCATTATTTAATAGGTATAAAAAAAGCGGTAAAAATAGTAGTGCAACTCATATTTCTCTTGTAACAAACTTTAGTAAATAATTTTGCCCATGAGTTTCTGGTGGCACCAGGACGGAAAGTAAGAAAAAAAATGACAAAAGTCACCAGGACAGGAATAGAACGGAAATTTTGGAGATGAAGATATCTGTTCTACTGTCAAATAAAAGGGTAATTCTCTAACTTTGGAGATATTTCCCCTTACTTCCTGTTTCTATAGGACAGGAAAATTCAGCTTAGACTTACCAGAAACTTGTTTTCCAATAGCCTTTCAGGACAGCACTTGAGAGAATATAGCTCCTCCTCCAACCAAAGGAAATGCTCCCACTCCAATCTTTTTAATGGGGGCTTCTCCCCACAGTCCTCAGTTGTAGAAGAGTACCTCTGCAGTATAAACAGCATAAGGACGGGTAAATATTGCTGTTCTGAAAGACTATTGGAAAGCAAGTTACTGGTATTTCTAACTTGAATTTTCCCATAAGCATGTTTCAGGATAGCACTTGAGAGAATTAACGAGAGGGAGGAACCACTGCTTACAGAATTGTTCTGCCAAAGGCTTGATCTCCTGCTGATATAAAATCCAATCTGTAATGCCGAACAAAGGTGGAAAGACTTAACCATGTTGCTGCCTTGCAGTTTTGTTCACAGGTAGCACCGACCATTTCTGCCCTGGCCAGCAGAGCTCTTGTGGATTGTGCGTGAATCCCAAAATGGTGGATTAGGACCAGAATGTAAATACACTAATCTATAGCGACTCTTAGCCATCTGGCTATGGAACCTTTAGTGGCCTTTTGGCCTTTCTTGGCTCCAGCATACAAAACAAAAAAAGGAGTCTGAGCTCCTAAAATCATTTGTAAATTCCAAATAACAAGATAACTCTTCTTATGTCCTAGATTGTAAGCTCCAAGGAGCAGGGCCCTCCTATCTCTCTTGTATTGAACTGTATTGTTGCTGTATTGTCTCCCGTTATATTGTAAAGTGCTGAGCAAACTGTTGGCACTATATAAATCCTATATAATAATAATAATGATAATATGTCCAAGGTATGAAAATCTTGTTCCTTCTCCCCTGACAGATTAGGACAAAATGTCGGTCGGATAATGTCCTGGTAACAGTGATAAACTGAAGAGACTATAGGAAGAAAGGCCAGATCTGTCTTTAGGACAATCCTATGAGGAAAAATAGACAAAAAAGGATCACTAAGTTTCCATGCACACTGGGCTTAAAAAAACACCAGTTCCCTTGGCAGACAAAAATGTTGATATACAGCATTATTGTACACAGTTTAGGCACGTTTAAGAGAGTTTAGCATTTTTTTTTTATCAGAAAGCTCCAATCAGAAACGCAAAGCAGAAGGGTTTTTTTTCCTGTCTCAATGATAAGCCTAAAATATGCCTCTAATCGTCCTAATGTACATGGACACATGGGATAAAAGTGAGCAGCTTCTACAGGCAAAACACAAAACTCCTGTAGAAGCAGCAAAGCCACTGTCCATGGAGCCTAATGGATAGATCCTGCGTGCCAAGGTCACAGCAATTAGAAGCACCAATACAGTTCCTCAATGTACCTGCCTGGCCGGAGGAAACATAAAAACTGAGGACTGTGGGGAGAAGCCTCCATTAAAAAGATTGGAGTGGGAGGGTTTCCTGTGGTGGATGGAGGAGGAGCTATATTCTCTCAAGTGTTGTGCTGAAAAACATTTTGAGAAATAAAAGCAATATCCCCAATGCAATACAGATGGCAAAAAAAAAAAAAAGTTGAAAAGTAAACACCCTTCTTTGCAGTGGGGCTATCCCTGTCACACTGCAGGGGTTAAATGCTCATTTCTGTCTAAGGAATGAGAAATGCACTTTACTTACCTGATCCTCCACTCCCCTGACAGACAGCTATTCCCCATGCTCCAGCAGTGGACTGTCCCTCAGCATCCTTATGTGCAGTGCAGGGCTAAGGTTGGTCTTTATGACATCAAAGGATCATTTTCTACTCTGTCTAAACCTCACACTCAGAACCTAAAGCTGAACTTTAGATTTGACTATTTTGCATACTTACATTGAATCACCTTGGCTCGATGCAAGTTTGCATACCTGATATCCTAAGGGTTGCTGTAAATCACTGCAGTAATCACTGCTACATACAGTGAGAGCCGTGATCTTCTGGGTTCTGCGCAACTGGCTTCTCTGCACACTGTTCCATTCATAGAATGCCTTATATTTTCTGCACTGAATACAAAGCATTCTCTGATTGGATGAAATAGAGAGCTAGAGTGGTGATGTCACAAACTCCACATTGTCCAGTCAGAGAAAGCCTTGTAGTCATTGAAAGATTAATTTTTTGCAAGCAGCTTTCCCTCTGCACACTGACCACAGTGGGTCAATCGCTCAACAGCATTTTCATAATGGTGCTGAGCGACCGAACCCCTGTGGTCACTGTACAGAGGGAAAGCTACTTGCAGAGACCCTGGAAATCATGGCTCTCAATGAATGTAACTCTACAGCGATTTGCAGCATCTTCAGCAGCCCCCTGGATATAGGATATACATATTTACATTGAGCCAAGCTTGCCATGATCATTGACACGAGGTGAGATCTTGCATGGTGCACCAGAGCTAGGGAGATTGACAGTTGTTTTTGTGTTTCTTCCATTTGCGAATGATTGCACCAGCTGTTGTCACCTTCCCACCAAGCTGCTTGGCGATAGTTTGGTAGCCCAGTCCAGCCTTGTGTAGGTCTACAATCTTGTCCCTGCCATCCTTGGACAGCTCTTTGGTCTTTGTCATGGTGGAGAGTTTGGAATCTGATTGTTTAATTGCTCCTGTGGACAGGTGTCTTTTATACAGGTAACAAAATGAGATTAGCAGCACTCCCTTTAAGAGACTGTTTCTAATCTCAGCTTGTTACCTGTATGAAAGACACCTGGTAGCCAGAAATCCTGCTGAATGATAGGGGATCAAATACTTATTTCCCTCATGAACATTCAAATCAGTGCATAATTTGTTAGACATGCATTTCTTTTGAAATCATCCCAGAACTACACGTGAGGATCTTGTCAATGATCTCCAGGCAGCTGGGACCACAGTCACCAAGAAAACAATTGGTAACACACTACACCGACAAGGATTGAAATCCTGAAGTGCCCGCAAGGTCCCTCTGCTCAAGATAGCACATGTCCAGGCCCGTCTGAAGTTTGCCACTGAACATCTGAATGATGCAGAGGAAGACTGGTTGAAAGTGTTGTGGCCAGATGAGACCAAAATCAAGCTCTTTGGCATCAATTCAACTCGCTGTGTTTGGAGGAGAAGGAATGCTGCCTATGACCCCAAGAACACCATCCCAACTGTCAAACATGGTGGTGGAAACATTCTGCTTTGGGGGTGTTTTTCTGCTAAGGGGATAGGACAACTGCACCATATCAAAGGGACGATGGACAGGGCAATGTACCGGCAAATCTTGGGTGAGAACCTTCTTCCCTTAGCCAGGGCATTGGAAAATGGGTCATGGATGGGTGTTCCAGCATGACAATGACCCAAAACACACGGCCAAGGCAACAAAGGAGTGGCTCAAGAAGAAGCACATTAAGGTCCTGGAGTGGCCTAGCCAGTCTCCAGACCTCAATCCGATTGAAAATCTGTGGAGGTAGCTTAAAGTTCGATTTCCCAAACATCAGCCACCAAACCTTAATGACTTGGAGAGGATCTGCCAAGAGGAGTGGGACAAAATCCCTCCTGAGATGTGTGTAAATCTGGTGGCCAACTACAGGAAACGTCTGACCTCTGTGATTGCCAACTAGGGATTTGCCACCAAGTACTAAGTCACGTTTTGTGAAGGGGATCAAATACTTATTTCCCTCATGAACATGCAAATCAGTGCATAATTTGTTAGACATGCATTTCTTTTGAATGTTTTGTTGCTATTCTGTCTCTCAGTGTTACACCTACCATTCGATTTTTAGATTGATCATTTCTTTGTGAGTGGGCAAACATTCAAAATCAGCAGGGGATCAAAATACTTATTTCCTTCACTGTATAAGGAGGTAATTCTTCCCAATGAGAAGTGTGGGGAGCATTCTTCCCACTGACCATCACTGTATCGTGAGTTGTAGGTATAGTAATCCTAGACAGGGGATCCCTTGGACCGAAAAGATATTTCAAGGGTTCGTCTGTGTCGAATAGGTTGAGAAAGGCTGTGCTAGTCTCATATGGATAATGAAAAGGTCACTAAAGTTACTGAAATTCTCACAGGACAGAATAAAACTTCAGAAGTGATGTCATGTATTATTTGTTTACAAATGATTTTATTGTATAAAAGTAGACTGTAAAACAACAGTACATTTTCAAATAAAACTTTCAGCAAAAACAAGGCACTTTTGAATAGTACATTACAGAAAAGTATATTAACGTAAGAAAGAAAAGGAGTAGTAAAAAAAAATTTAGATAGCAAGCACATGAGATGTGTAAACGA